CCTCTATGTTAATATTGGGGAGTGTTACTAAGATGACAATTAGTTAACATCTTGATATTAACTATAGTAGGATTCATTTTCCTTAATATTCTTCCTTGAGTATTAATTAATTCCTATTCATATTTCATATTAATATTTTTGAACATTACTTAAAGGATCAACTAGCTAGTTTTGTTTCAAATATTAATTATTACTAGAAACGATCAACGAACCGATGGTTAATCGTTGATGGTTTCACAAGTAAGTAACTTCGGTTTATTAATGCACGGTCGTGGTTAGTAAACTTAAGAGGGATTAATTTTGTTGGTTAAACCGAAACCGTTGTGTTGAGGTTATCAATTTCAATTGATTTCATCAAGGAGTTAAGAGATTAAATGCTACTATCAAGTAGGTATATGGCGTTGTTCTATACTTGACTAATAGTAAGGGTTATTAATGAACGGTCGTTGTTAATAACTTTCCTCGATGAATTGGATATACTCCTCGATTGAGTATTCGAGAGGAGATAAGTTATAGATATAACAATGATCGACTGAAATATATCAACAAGTGGAAAGTAGCAATGCCAAGTCCTTGTTATCTTTGAATTAAATCACATATAATTCGTTCATCTTCGTGTTTAATTTAATTAAATCATTCAACCCAAAACCCCCCTTTATTTACTCCTTTCGTTAAAAAGATAAATTATTCCTTTCCCTGTGGATACGAACCTTACTACACTATACTACGTATTAGTGTCGTATTGATTATTATTTTGAGTGCACACCACGACAAAGTGCACGTCACACGTCCAAGTCATATTTGATGAAATATTACTGGACAAAAAGAGTCACTACAAAAAACAGGTGAAATACCTATGAACTTTCCAACAGATTTTAGTGAAAAAGTCGTGGGAAATGATATTTCCAACGAAGTACCGACAGAATGTGGTCGTCGGAATACAATGGTTGGAAAAATTTCCAGCCACCATTTCCAACGGATTTTAAAATGTTCCAACGGAATTCCAACGGATGTATCCGTCCGAAATTTCCAACCGATAAATTCGTTGGAGATCACCATTTTAATATCACCACCTACCGACGAGTTTCCAACCGATTAATCGGTTGGAAAGTTTATAAAAATTAATATAGCAGCAGGTTTCAACAGAAACATTCGTTGGATTTCAATGACTTATTCTGTACCAGCAGCTACACGGCTAGTTCAGTAAATATTACTAGTTCGTTTTTTTTTCTTGTTTTTTATATTTGAGTTCTGATATTGTAACATTGTAGAAAATCATCACCAACAAAACAACACAATATAGACCACAATCTCAAAACATGGCATAAACCAGTAATATTCAGCATTGTTAAAACACAACCAGTCAACATAAAACAAAAGTTTGACAAATTAAAGGAAATTGTTCATTACACCACAACACCAAACACTCAACTTCCAAATACTTCTTCATTGGGCAGCTTCATTTCCTCTCTCATTTGCAGCAAATATAGTGCTCAGAAATGTGTCATCCACAATTGTGCTATTGCGGTTTTGTAGAGGACTGAATTCAAATGGCACTTGAGAAGGAATGGATGGTTGAAGTGGCACAGATTGTTGTCCGGACATGTAGGCATTCGTGTACATTGTTGGGTAATAAGGGGCCTGTTGTGCGTGCAAATTGTGAGTCATCTGTGATGGCACTGTAGGAAACATAGATGTATGAAGCTGAGACATATGTCCTTGTGTCATATTTGGATTTGATGAAAGGTTGTTCGACCCTTGAGTAGAATCCATCTCCCGTCTCACCATCATTTGTCCTATTTGATCCATTATCGACGATTTAAAAGCATTGAAATCATCGAGCTTCACATATTGGGTCTGTCTACTCGATGTGAGATCTAATGAACCATTGGACATAGCCATTGCAGTCAAGGGATCCACCCCAAATATTTTGCCTTTTTTTGGAGATACCACTTGCAAAAAAATTGCATTTTGATCCACTTTTGTTCCCTCTGTAGAGCCTTGTTTTTTACGGTCTACCTCTGATGCAACTTTTTCCTAATTAAAATCACAATTTCAATAAGCACTATATTAAATAAACTAGAAATAATTGATATACTAGTAAGTACAAAACAATGTTACTGGAAATCATTGCAATACTACCTGTAAGTACAAAAAAGATGTTAGTAGTTTTATATTGTATAATATAAAATACATGTATTTAAAAGTAAATTAAATAATTCACCTGTAAACAATAAAACAAGTACTAACGTATTAAAATTTGGACACACTAATAACACAGACCAAACATAGTAATGCACTAAAAGTAATTATGACATGATATTCCTCAATACATATAATCTAAGCAAAAAAACATATAAATACTACTCATGCAATGAAAGTGAAAATGCGCAAAACAGTACAAATAGAATTATACCGCAATCTCTTGAGCCCGTGGACCACTCCATTCATTAGTTTCTTTTTTTTGAAACCCATCTTTGAGAAGCTCAATAGCAAGTGGTGTCCTACCCAATTGCACAGCCTATATAAAAATATATAATAAATAACTCATTTCACCATACCTAATTTGAAATAAATACTGCCTTACAAGGAAAAACTTACTAATCGTTCTGCTCTAACTGTTTGAGAAACAGACCCTCCACAATATGGTGAGCTTCTACATGAGCCCGAAGAGCTATTTGCTTTGTTTGTTTCTGACTTCTTCTTAAACTTTTCAGATGCCCATTGCCCTAGCATGTCCTTCCAATCTACTGGAGATATCCATGGGACCTGTTTTTTTTTCTTTCGGGCTTCACTAAACACATCCGTCAACCACCCTGAACATCTGGAGTCAAAAGCACGTTGGATTTCAGATTCTTCGGCCCGGGGATATGTGTGGTTCCGCTACATAAAACAAAGATTTATACGGAAAGTAAAATACCAAACAAAAACAAATTATACACAAATTTGATATGCTCAGATTTACCGCAAAATCCTTAAACCATGACTCGCGATAAGGCTTAGGTACATCTCCATAACAAATCCACGCTCCCCTGTAAGATCCTTGTAATATCCTTTTGATCTCGTCGAGAACTTTTTTCCTACAATCATTTAACATAAAAAAATGAATATGTTAATGATTTATATTTTGTGTTCATGATAGTCAAAGTAATACTTATTGCATATTATCAAATTATTACCTGGGAAAGTCTGCAACTGATATCGGTGTTCGAACTATATTGGACGACCCTTCACCACCGTAAGATCCAAATGCAGAGGCAGCTGATTCATGGTGGCCTTCAGGGGTTAATGATTGGCTTTCGTTCATACCCTGCTCAGCTTCAACCTCTTCCTCCTCATCAGAGTCATATTCTTCAATAATTGGAACATCGTAATTTTGCACCACCGGAACGTGTGCTCTAGCTCCACCCCTTCCCCCTCCTCTCCCCATAGCCCTACTGAAGTTGGACCGTCCTGACATGTTCAGCTAAATAATAGGATGATAAACATGAGGCCAATTACTAAAATTCATTTCAATAGTGTAAAACGGACTAGTTCAAATTACAACAAATAAATCAAAAGTAACTTGATGTCAAAACTTGTTTTACAGATTCTATTATCGAGAGCGGGTCAATGGAGAGGAAATGACACAATTTACAGATTATATATTAGTGTTTTAAATGCTGATAAATAAAATTAAAATGTTACATGAATTTTTTGAGATACAAACAAAAGTCAAATATGCCGTAGTATTATCAGTAAACTGGAAAGCCTCCTTCTATACAAAAAGTAGCATCCACTTAAAGACTCATAGTTCAAAAAAGCACTTTGTTGAAGTATGAAACACTTTTTCTAGATTGCCCTGTCCCGAGTTATCAGTACCCAATGCTAAAGGCCAATGGTAAAGGCATATGCAACTTACAAATTTTATATTGAAAGTCATTATAACACATATAAACTCAAAGCAAACAAATCTCTTCTCTAAGTTATTTTACAACCAAGGGCAAGGAAGCATTAAGAATAAACTCTCAACCACTATAAAACAACTACTGCCTCATTAATATTTCCAAAATCTCTCTACGTTATTTTACAACAAAGGGCAAGTATGTTAGTTAACATGGCGATTTGGAATAATCGACAGTATAAAATGCAAAAGTTCCAGTTTTGAGAAGAGAAGACGGAAGATAGCAGAACCTGGATATTTTGAACGGCTGCTATGCGGCTACAATGCTGTGTTGTGTGTTATCCGCCAAGATAGAAGAGAAGATACTCACTCCGTAGAAGATAGGGTTAAGGGTTTTAAGACTAAGGCTTGCTATTTTCTCCCAACTGATCGAAAAGCCCACTACCTGCTAGTATTACTTACAGCTTACAAAAAAAGTCATTTAGTTTTTTTTTTACATAGATAAGTAAGGAAGGTTTTACTTGGACTGTAATTTGTTGGTCTGGTCTGATCTGGTCTGGTCTGTTTTGCTGTAAAGTAGTCTGGTCTGGTCTGGTCTGTTTTGCTGTAAATTAGTCTGGTCTGGTGTGGTCTGGTCTGATCTGGTCTGGTCTGTTCTAGTCTGGTCTGATTTGAACTGGTCTGGTCTGGGACTAGTTTTTAAAAGTGACAAAAGTATATTTGTTCAAACACACATAAACATTCTTATTGGTGGAATTTAAAATTTGTAGTCCTAATTTGCAACGTTGCCACTTTTTAGTCCTATTTAGGGAATTCACTCTTTGGTTTTTTGTTTTGACGTTTAAGAAGTATAATCTATACTTCTTCCCTATAAATTACTACGTATTTATACTTTTGATTTTAAAACAAAAAATTACTTCTATCCCATTAAACTTCGACAAATTTTATTTTTTTACTGTCTCACTATCAGCTCGGTTGGTAGCACGAAAATCGGTTGATTTGGTTGATTCTCCGTCCCGTAAAACTTGAACAAGAATAACCCAAAATATTGAAAAAAAGTCTCAAAATACTTGTCAGATTAGATGCCATTGTTCATCATTTATCGTGACTTACAAGGGTATTATTCATTGTTCAACGTACTAAAATAAAAGCACGACATGACATTACATAAAAACTACGAAGTCGATCTAAACCTCTCCGTCTGAGCTGTTATCATCTTCTTCACATATTACCTCATCTGGATCACTTTGATTATTGTCTTCTTCACCTCTTTCATCTTCGTCTCCATATTCTTCAGCGTATTCGCTAACATTCTGAGCAATGTCATCAGTTGGAATAGCTTGAAGAACTTCAACTAAAGGAATATCTATCTCTATTCCAGGATCTTGTAACTCTATCAAGCCCTCCATAATTTCAACAATGGGAGGTGGTTCAGTTTCCTCGACTTGGTATGGTTCATCATCAACCCTCTTCCATTCTCCTTGAATATCATTCCGTGCTCTAACTTTGCATGCACATTTCCAACCACGTAGCGCTGCAGTACGGCCCATTGGGTATTCGAGAAAGAACACTTGTGTTGCTTGTTCTGCTAAGATAAATGGCTCAAAAACTCGATAAACACAATCAAGCTTCACATCAACAATATTATATTTTTCATGTGCCCGCATACCACGCAGAGGATCAACCCATGTACAATTGAACAACACAACTTGTAGCTTTAGAGGACTAAGTATTTCGACCTCGAGTACCTCTTCTAAAGTCCCGATCCAATCTGTACTTGAGTTATTGTAATTTGATGAACGAACACATACTCCACTATTATATGTTTTTTTCCTGATTCCATAAGATCGTGTATGGAATGTATAACCACCTACTATGTATGCAGGACGTGATTGAGCCCGGGCATTTAAACCGCATGCTAGTGCTGTTATTAAGGGGTCAGAAACTCCATTGTATGGATTCTTCACCTATAATTACACAACATCATAGGTCATGCAACAAAAAAAAATACATGAATAACTATGGTGTGTACAAAACTTACATAAGCACTAAACCATTCAGAGAAGTCTCTGGCGATAATGTGATCCACGTTCATGTGACCTTGTGATTCAATGAAGTTCGAAAACATTCTGCCATAATAGTCATATGTGAATAACATTCATTGTAAATTGCATATTATATGACGATAAACACAATAGTCATAAGTACAAATATTCTTACTCGTAATATGGTCTCACTTCTGCACAATTAAGTAAGATATATGTGTATGCAACTTTTAATTCTTCACCAACAATGTACCGTAAAGTAGACTTCCCATGTCCACGACCAGGATGATTGAAAATTGAGAACCTCATTGAGCTTGAAGAAGATGAAGCAGCAACATTGTTTCGAGAATGTCTTATACGTTTAGAACGTATTGGTGTTTCAAAGTAGTAAGAGGAAAACATTGACAGCTCCTCAAAAATGTACGCACTACATATGGATGCCTCAATATGTGCTTTATTAGTGATTTTCTTTTTTAGGCTCCCAAGAAACCTGCAAATACAATAATGCATTTATAATAGTAAATATTGCAATACTTATAGCTATTTTAAAAAAAATAGTGATTTACCTCTCAAACATATACATCCATCTGTATTGCACTGATCCACACACTCTTGCTTCATAGGGTAAGTGAGCGATTAAATGTACAGATGCAGTAAAGAATCCTGGTGGAAATATTTTCTCCATGTTGCATAGCAAAAGAATTACAGATTTCTCTAATTGTTTAAGCAACTCAACATCTACCACACGTGTGCACAGGGTTTGGAAGACTTGGCTTAGCTCAGCAATTAACTGCCACACAGTTTTTGGGAGCATTTCACGAAATGCTATCGTGATAAGTCTTTGCATAAAAACATGGCAATCATGACTTTTCATATGCACTACTCTTAAACTATCTGCACTAATACATCTACGAAAGTTAGATGTGTAACCATCTGGGAATCTGATAGAAGCAATCCATGCCAGTATGACTTTTTTCTGCTCAGTTGTAACTGTGTATACAGCCTTATTAATTTTATCAACAAAATCAGAGGTCACACCTATGTTAGGACGATCACAGTAAATTCCAACATCCTTCCGTGCCTTCAAGTTATCTTTCGTCCTTTCTTTGTCATTCATTATTGTATAAAATAAATTGTCAAACACATTCTTCTCAATGTGCATAACATCCAAATTGTGCCTGACTAATAAATTTTTCCAATACGGGAGATCCCAAAATATACTCTTTTTTGTCCACTTATGAGTTGTACCATAACCTTCAGGTAATTCATGGGGATCATCGACAACTGTATCCATCACCGCGACACGATCATATATTTGTGTTCCCGATAATCTAATAGGTGGACGACTAGTTTCCTTTCTTCCTTTTGTGAAGGAACTTACATCTCTACGATAAGAGTGATTGCGTGGAAGGAATTGTCTGTGACAGTCAAAATAACATGCTTTTCCACCATACTTAAGGTGGAAAGCCTTGCTATTTTCCATACAAATAGGACATCCTAAAACTCCAGCAGTACTCCAGCCTGAGAGCATCCCATATGCTGGAAAATCACTAATTGTCCACATTAAAACAGCTCGCATAGAAAACATTTCATTTTTTGCCACATCATACGTTCTAGAACCCTCATCCCAAAGATGTTTCAACTCATCAATAAGCGGTTGTAAATAAATATCAATTTTTCTCTTGGGACACATTGGACCAGGAATAATGAGAGATAAGAACATGTATGGAGATTTCATGCACATACCAGGAGGAAGATTGTACGTCGTGAGAATAACGGGCCAACATGAATAGGATGCACCATACTGCCCGTGTGCAGCAAATCCATCAGAACACAATCCCAATCGAACATTACGTGGATCTGAGGCAAAGTCAGGATACATATTGTCAATGTGTTTCCACGCCTCACTATCAGAAGGATGACCCATCAAATTCCCGATTGATTCATGATTAGAATGCCATATCATGGACTCAGCCGTTTGACGTGATGCATATAATCTTTGCAGCCTCGGTGTCAAAGGAAGATAACGTAATACGGAAATAGCAGTTCGCTTCTTTCTTTTTGACTGGCAATCCTGATCTGAATCATATGTGTAGCGCTTCTCACCACAAAATGTACACGCTTCCAACTTTTTATCATTTTTCCAGAACAACATACACCCTTTAGGACACGCGTCAATCTTCACCACCGGGAGACCTAATTCAGCCACAAGTTTTTTTGTCTCGTAATAATTTCTAGGAACATTGTTGTCACGGGGTAAGTATCGACCAAATAATTCCAGCCACCGATTGACTTCATCTTGTGAAGCATTAAAATCAGATTTGATACTCATTACTTCCGAAACAAATTGCAATTGGGAGCCTTCATTACATCCTTCATACAAAGGTTGATCTGCAGCTTGCAACACATTTTTAAAATGATCCGCCAAGTATGATATGTCATCTTCATTTGGTGATTCATCTCCTCTTTGTTCTCCAGAATTAGGATCATAGTATGTGGAGCCTATTGGCACGTGTCCTCCAAAAATGTCTTCTAACATCCTTTGACCCCATGGTGTCTCATCTTGACTCCCTGAATGTGCTCCATGAACATTTTCGGTAGTATGTTCGTTTGGGGTTTGAGAATTCACAAATGTCGAACCTTGTAACAATTCTCCATGAGAAGTCCACGTTTCATACCCGGGAATAAATCCATGTCTAAAAAGATGAAGCTTCACTTCCTCAATAGCATGAAAGCGTCGGTTACCACACTTTCGACATGGACATCGAATTTCTTCTCCACCACTAAATTCATGTTTAAGACAAGCGAATTCAACAAAACTTTCAACACCATTCATGAAATTAGTAGAAACATTTTTTGTAAATGGATCGTATCTATCGTACATCCAACTTCTATCTATCCTATCCATTCTAAAATTAGATAGAAGAAACCAATATTTAAAAATACACGTAGTATATTTTAGTTTAGGAAGATGAATGGGAGGTGCCTATTATCTTCGCAGAAGCAGAGTAATATAAAGGGAGGAGGGCAGCGATATGGTTAGATTCAAATTGATTCACCAAGGAATTGTCGTTGAGTTTCATAAATTCTAATCCCAACGGAATTCCAACGACTTCCCGACGGATTCAGCTAGACCTTCCAACGCTTGCCCAACAGATTTCCGACGGCTTTCCAATCCCTTTCCAACCGATTTCCGACGGATTTAATCCGTACTGGAATCCAAAACCCTCCAACCGCTTTCCAACGGACTGCCGACGAATTTGTAAATAATTCCCTATAGATTTCCTACGGATATATTCGTCGGAGGGCTAAAAAAAATCCTACGCTATTCCAACCGAATTCCGACGTCGTCCGTTGGAAGTCCTTCCGAAGTTCGTTGGAAATTTCCCTCCGCTAAATCGGTCGGAAAATGTCCGTCGGTAATGGGGTGCTGTTTTGTAGTGAGTACTTTTTGTCTACTCTCACACAATTTAGAAATGTTAACAATATTTACTACTCATATTGATTATTATTTTAAACTCTCAAAAAACTTATAGAAGGGTATGATAAAATACAATTATACTCATGAGCTGTATACAAGGATGGAGCCACATACAAGGATGTGGTGTCAATTGACACCACTATAATGTTTTTTGTAGCTATATATAGTGATATATTTTCAAAAAATTAATTTGACACCACCTATATAAATGGAATGATTGTCAATTGACATAACTCAAATATTTTTTTGTAGTTATATACTCTCTCCGTCCCATAAATAGTTCTTGCATTGAATTGGATCAGAGTTTAAGAAAATGGAAATAAAGTGAAAATGTATGGTTGTAGTTGTGTAAAAAAAATGTAAATGAATATGAGTCACACAAAACTTTCCAAAAGGGGAAATGTGAACTATTTTTTGTGACGGCCTAAAAAGGAAACCGGGAACTATTTTGCGGAGGGGGTATATAAAGGTATATTTTCTAAGTTTTAATTGAACAACACATTTATAAACGAAATGATGATGTGATTTTCCTAGTTTGAAACCTGAAAATATATATATATATATATATATATATATATATATATATATATATATATATATATATATATATATATATATATATATATAATGATAGTAGAAACCGTATTTATCAATAAATTTATTTTTAATATCATCATATCATGCCATAGAAGTGGTATTTAGTTTAGAGTTTCATCTAAGAATAATTGATTATATCTGTTGAAATTGGTGAAATTGTGACTGAAACGGCTAATTTAATTAAATATGATGAACTATGTTAAATTTATATTTAAATATACTTTATTGATTAAATCAACAAACCTTTCGAAGAAAATTAAGAAAATGTAAGGTCAGAAGAAGTAACTCCAACCTCACATAATTCTATTATATACAATTCACCACTCTAAATCAAAAGTTAGAGCTTTGCAAAAAAGTTAACTCATCATCACCATAAGCCGAGAATAGAGATGCCAAACAAGTTCTTAATTTTTTTTAGAAATAAGACTAATAGAATAAAAGGTATATATACGTTTGAAACACACAAGTAGGGGTGTTCAAAAACCCAAAAAGGCATAAAATTGGACCGGACCATATACGAACTAGCCACGTAAGTTCAATACAACTTGCCTTTTGTCCATTTAGGCATGTCTCCACGTTGTTCCTAAGCCGGGACGGATCCAGAATTTAAGGCTAAGGGGCAAAAAAAATCGCTAGTGTAGGGCTGACCCCTACACTAGCTCGGACAGCCTTCCGCCTCTACCAAAATCCATAAAAATACCTAAGAGGGTCTGCCCATATGTCACAAACATTTAAGTGTGACATATGGTTTTTTGGCCGGATTTTGAGTGGTACCGACGTATAAATATTTACATGTAGTTGTGGTTCTGGTTCGCTTTATTTAAGAGTTAAACTACCAAAATGTAATAATACCAAGATACCACTGTACCACTTATATGCATTTCCCCTAGTGAACTCCCATGCTTAACTTATCGTGTTGCTTCCCTCAAAAAAAATCCTGTTGCTCAGAGTTGATGTATGCATTAATTGTATGATGCGAAGATGAACAAAATTCTTCTTCTTTTTCGTGCATGTGTTATTGTTTGTGTGCCTCCACCTTTGCAGCACTCCCAATATCATCTATCTTTCCCTTCCTTTATTTCATGGTAAGTTGCACATTTCTCTAGCTCTCATTTTATAATGAAACCGATTTGAGGGAGTCCAATGAATCTTATACCTATATGTTTTTTGTGATGGCAGATAAGAGATTTCCATGTTGCAGAGACAGAAGAAGATATTGGTTGCTATGCAGGTTATGTAGGTATGCAGTATGCTAATGTTTTGGCCGGAGGATATGATTGAACAATAATAATAATATTAATTAATAATAATAGTTCGTACCCCCTCTGTCCCTAATACTTTGCTTTACACATAATTTAAGAAAGGAAAAATGTTTGACACTGTATTGTTTATCAAATTAGGAAAATGTACATTTTTAGAGACAACCCGAAAGGGAAAGTGGGGTATTTATATATTTAGGGACGTAGGAAGTAGCTAGTACCCCATTTTTGTTGTCTTACTTACCTATTCAGGTTGTTTCAATTCAAAATGAATGTCATGTGTTGTTTTTTAGTACGAAACTTAACCATTTTATTCATATCATTTCACTTTATTATACTTAAACTTAACCATAATTTTTTAATTTTTCAACCATTTTATTAATTTTTGTGACCAACTAATACTTCCTATAAGAGCAACTCCAACAAGCACCATCACCTACACCAAAATGGTGTATTTGGCAAAAAATTGCTCCAATAGTCACACCATCCCTTACACCATTACACCATTTTGGGGGAGAGGCTTTTACTTTACACCAAATATGGCGTACATCATATCTCACGCCATCCTCTTTTTTAATTTTTTTTTATTTCAAATGTGACCCAAAGTTTTGATTGTTATAGTTTTGACCCATTTTTAAAACAACAAATTAGTATGTTTTTACTTGGACTGAAATTTGTTGGTCTGCTCTGGTCTAAACTGATGTGGCCTGGTCTGATTTCTTTGTATTTTTATAACTACCCAAGTCTAGTCTAAACCGGTCTGATCTGATCTGAGACAAATTACAGTCCAAGTAAAAACATCCTTATAGAACAACAATTTAAAATTATTAATTTGATAGGAAAAAATATAATAAAATTTAAATCACACAATATTATAAATATTTAATTTTATGTGGTTTTAGCTTGTACTTGTGAAATATTGATTATTGTATTTTAATTAGTAAAATGCCTGAAAATAAATATTAAAATGGTGTATTTTAGTTTGTATGTGTGAAATAATGTGCGAAATGTCAAAATATTAAATGAGGGGCTAATGTATAAATATATGATAATTAGATACTTAAATAGAAGAATGGTAAAAAGTTAGTAAAAAGAACAAAAAGAGAATATTCCTTTATGGTGATGAAAATGGTGTAAACTGTTGGAGATAAAATACTGTTTGATGTGATATTTACACCATTTTAGTGTAAAAAATGGTGTAAACTGTTGGAGATGGCCTAAATAGCTAGTACTATTTATGATTAACCATATTTACTAGAAAGAAAGTTTTTTTCATTTGTCTAATGATATTGCATATACGTGGTCTAAATGCATAAAGGCTCGGCATTCATGCTTGGAAGGGCAGCTACGTCTTTATTTTGGGGGTTGATTGCGGATCGATATGGTCGAAAACCAGTTATTATATTTAGCACTATTTCAGTGTAACTTTCATCGAAACCTCTCATCTAAATTTGATTCATTTTATATCAAGGTGAAATGAGAAACTATTATTTGATATTGCTATGTATTAATATGGTCTCAGGGTGATTTTCAATACTCTGTTTGGTTTTAGCTCAAACTTTTGGATGGCAATCATTTCCAGATTTCTTCTTGGAAGTTTAAATGGTTTGCTTGGACCAATCAAAGTATCCTATTTACTCTAATTTACTTCAACTTA